TAGGCTCCAAGCTCTGAGCTGTCAGCACAGAGCCCAACGTGGAGCTCGAACCCACAAACTGTGAGATCATGACCTGAGCCGAAGTCGGATGCTCAACCAACTGAACCACCCAGATGCCCCTCACCACTCTGTTTTTAAAGACAACCTACGGGGCGCCTGGGTGGTGCAGTCGGTTAAGCGTCCGACTTCAGCCAGGTCACGATCTCACGGTCCGTGAGTTCGAGCCCCGCGTCAGGCTCTGGGCTGATGGCTCAGAGCCTGGAGCCTGCTTCCGATTCTGTGTCTCCCTCTCTCTCTGCCCCTCCCCCGTTCATGCTCTGTCTCTCTCTGTCCCAAAAATAAAATAAAAAACGTTGAAAAAAAAATTAAAAAAAAAAAAAAAAAGACAACCTACTAGGGGCACCTGAGTGGCTCAGTCGGTTAAGAGTCCAGCTTTGGCCCAGGTCATGATCTCACAGTCTGTAAGTTCAAGCCCCACATCACGCACTCTGCTGTCAGCATGGAGCCTGCTTCAGACCCTCTATCCCCTTCTCTCCCTCTGCCCCTTCCCTACTTATGTGCTTTCTCTCTCTCTCAAAAATAATAAATAAAAAAAAATTTTAGCAAAGACAACCTACTGTATTCCTAATAATCTGTCCTAACCTTTACCAGTCAAATCAACTAGGTCCCTAACTGCTGATGTATTTTTTTATTAACTGCATAATGTATACCATCCTCATTAAAGAGATTACAGTTTTCTGCAATATTTTAAATAGTTTAAAGTGAAAAGTTTGGGGTAGCAAAATTAGCCAAATTTTATGATATACCAACCCTCTTTTACTTAAAAAGCAAAAACAAAGATGGGGCACCGGGTTAGCTCAGTCAGTTAAGCGTTCGACTTTGACTCGGGTCGTGATCTTGTAGTTCGTAATTTCGAGCACCACGTCAGGCTCTGGGCTCACAGATGGGAGCCTGGAGTCTGCTTCAGATTCCGTGTCTCCCTCTCTCTCTCTGCTCCTCCCACACACACACCATCTCTCTCTCTCAAAAATAAACAAACATTAAAAAAAAAAACAAAAACAAAGAAACAGAACACTTTCTCTTTGAAACACGAAGGAATACAATGTAAAAAAATTTTTAAAGAGCTTAAAACGTCATTAATGTCTTAAAATTTAAAATGATAATATGACATAAAAAAAAAAAAAAAAAAAGATGGATAGCTTGGTGGTTAAGAGGATTAGGTTCTAAAGTAAGGTTGCCTGGACTAATCCCAGATCTGCTCTACGTTAGCTGGAAGAACCCAGAAAAGTTCAGTCCTCACCTGTATGTGGATATAATACTATCATTTCATCCAGAGACTTGTTCTAAGTATTTTATACATATTAACCCATTAATCCTCTCAATAACCCTATGAGGTTCATACCGGTATCACGCTCATTTTCTCAACACCCTCTCACCTCCAGAAGTTATATAACTTGCCCCAAACAGCGGAGGGTGGCAAATATACCACCCCAAAATATGGTGCTTCAGCATAAGGATTATTTCGAGCTAAAGGCACTTGAAAAATAGCAGGTGCAAGGAGGGCGCTCTGACCTCTCCTTTCCTTCCCGAAAGCAGGAGATAAAGCCCCCCTCTAGAAGATGCCAGGAGGAAAGAAGCATTCTTATCACCAGAGGTGGAGAGTCAAGGCCAAGAGAACTCTGTACAAACAGACCCTGTTAAAATAACTCTTATCTTCCTTGAGTCTCCCCACACAATCTACTTTTCCACAGTGGCCTCTTTGTTCAACCCGGTACATGAACACATGGGTTTTGCCATTTCTTTAGGTCTTCATTTTCTTGGGGGGGGGGGGGCTCCTGTGTACACATAAAAGCCTGTATGCTTCTCTCCTGTTCATCTGCCCTTTGTGTATTTACGTCTCAGGCTCAGGCACAGACCCTGAGAGGAGAGAGGAGAATTTCTGCCTCCCCTGTAATGGAGACTCTGGCAAACTGTAGAGCCAGGATACAGAGCCAACAAGTCTGGCTCGAGTCAGGATCTCATCTGCCCTTCACTGCAGTGTCTCTGAGGTGTTCCTGAGAAAGAAGGGAGGTGGTGTGATCAATGAGAAGAGAAAGAAGACACAGGAAGAGAGAGCCAAGGCTGATGCTGGCTGACATCCTCACAACTTCAGGAGAGTAACTAAGCTCACAAGATAGTAGGCACACAGGGATTTTTCATGGAGGGTGGTGAAGGGGTAGAGCTTTGCACCTCGAGACGGGCTCAGCACTCAAGGACACTGAAGGAGAAGAAAGCCTCAGCAGACATCTAGGGGACTCGTCTGGCTTGGGTCATTTGAAAGACGGTGACCACCAGCTGACTTCAAATTACATCACTGTCCTGGAACGATGACGGAAGTGATTCCTCACCATGACTGCCAGGGACACTAACGTTACAGGTGAGGTACGGTGCAGGGACAAAACCCACCCAACTCAGTCCAAGATGGTCCTGGGAAAGCACCCTCCAAACACAGCATGTCAGCTTTTGGGAAAGTGCCCCCTCAGAGCTTAGGTGTATCAGAGGGAGCAGCTAGAACATGAGAGCAGATGAGGGTAATAAAGTGCTGGAAATTCCCTCACGAATTAGCAAATCTGAAAGTTTCTGTGTCTTCCGAGGCTCGGCTAAAAACTACTTCACAAACCAGCGTCTCTTCTAGAAGAGGAAAGGTCCACAGCAGATAAGCTTCAGCCACTGAGGCAGAAGACACTGGAAACTAGGCCCGTGTTGGGCTAGCTACAACTGAAGCATCCATATGCTTTGAGCTACCAGACAGTGAAGGACCAGCAGCAGGGGGTTTTCAGCTGTGGTTAAAACTTACCTCTGAAATGCTGCAATGTCGCAGGCCACACAGCAATTTCAGGTGCTTCACCAGACAGGTGAAGAAGATATATGAAGAGCATTAAAAGTTGCACCTGCTCACAAAGATGTCTGTGTACTACCTCACATCCTTTAAATGACTATTTGATTACAAAAAGAGTAATGTTGATTTCTAAACATGATACAAGAGAAAACAGCAAAGCTCTCTGCACGTGTGTTAAGACTACAGAGAAACACAGAACAGAGTTTGGAAAACCAGGCTTTGTTGAAGCACATTTCTGAGAGAAGAGTTTTGTGTGAAATGCTTAAAGAAGCAGACCAGAGGCATCCCTGAGGTTTAGTTAGTGAGGCTAATTCAGGAGGTAAGAGGGAAGCAACACTGGCAGCTTTCAAGGAACAGAAGTTGGGACTGATGGAGCCAGTTCGGACCTGGAAGCTGAGGCATAAATTCTTGATGCGATAAGAAGGGCCAGAGGAGCGGTCATGTGCATGGGACCCCAGTTTATACCCATCAGAAAGTTCCCCAGAAAAACCACTGGCCCTGGTCAAACAATGCCTCACTATTTTGCCTCAGGCACAGGGGATGTGGACAGGACAGAGAGAAAACAATGCTGAGCACCCAAATTATTGCCCCTGTCCTAGGACATAGGCAGCAGATTCAGAAAAACTGCCACAAGGGAAGGGGAATCTGCCAGCACTGCAGATCCTGGCCTGACAGAACTTGACTGTGTCAAAGATGGGACATTCACAGGTAACATTTAGCCGCAAGAAAAACTGTAATCTGGTCTTCCAGAGATTAAGGCCTAGAAATGGAAGAGGGCCAGATGGGTGAAACGCTCGTGTCCTTTCTGTGAGAGACCAGATCCTAAAGAGAAGGGCTGAAGAGGCAGAGACCTACCCACCCAAACTTGTAAGTGTGGAGAAAGAGGCATGGCATGAACCCAGCTCTGAGAGGGCTGAAGCTGAAAATTCAAGATCACCTTTATTTTTTTATTTTTTTTTTTTAATTTTTTTTTTTCAACGTTTATTTATTTATTTTTGGGACAGAGAGAGACAGAGCATGAACGGGGCAGGGGCAGAGAGAGAGGGAGACACAGAATCGGAAACAGGCTCCAGGCTCTGAGCCATCAGCCCAGAGCCCGACGCGGGGCTCGAACTCACGGACCGCGAGATCGTGACCTGGCTGAAGTCGGACGCTTAACCGACTGCGCCACCCAGGCGCCCCTCAAGATCACCTTTAAATCCAAGGCACCAACCTCCACTTTTCAAGACATGTGAAGCATTTGTCCATGGAAGGGGACCCTGGTCTGACTGGGCCAAGATAGAGATCCTAAGAGGAAGGAAACCAGAATCTGGAAAGAGAGATACCTGAGAAACATCCCAGGGAGCAAATACCCTATGAGTTCATGCAACTCCTCTCAGGGAAAAAGCAGAATTTGGCGGGAGGAAGTCCAGAGTGGGAGAGGATGTGAGTTACGTGGGAACACTGGGTTTTAGCTCATCACCCCTGGGGACAGAACTTCTGGGAAGAACTATACAAAGACTGCAAGTCTCTTCCTCAGGGGAAAGACACACGACACACGAAGGAAATGTTATTTTTCAGAATTCGCCTTGGAAAGAGCATAGTATTTGTTTGAAAGAAATTTTTTTAAAGCCTCCAAAATAGTAATAACTGCAGGTATCAATTTTATAATAGAAAATAAACCAATCTTAACAAACATTTAGGAGACACTATGTAACATATTTCGATTTAAAAAGTATACTTCATTCAGTAAATGATTTATTGGATGCCTAATTTAATTTCAGATGCTAATTTAAGAGGCGAGGTTTGCTGCTATTTATAAAACAGAACTTGACTTTATCAAGGATCCTTCAAGACTTTTGGTTTTTTGCAACTAAAAAGGTTGACCAGCTTATTAGATAGAAAAAAAAGAGACGATTTTTACACATATAATTTGAAGGATGCAGCCAAAGTAATATATAAGAAGAGTGTGACTTGACCAAAATATTCTAAGTGACTGGGGAGCTTTATTTTTATAGATTTCATATACATAAATTAATTAAGGTATTAGTGAGAATTAAAAATCAATCACATAATTTTAAAGTAAACCTTTAAAGGAACAAAAACTCATCCAATTATGATTTTGTTTCTGTAAAAGGCTCACCTAAAAGGACAAATCCATCGGCTTCTGTCTCTGGTACTGTGGGCTTTTTAGATTCCGGAGACTTTCTGAAGAAGTGAAACATTGCTGCTATCTGAAACAGAAACACCACGCAATGTCAGATTCAGAGCAAACTGTAAAAGTCTTAGTAAAATGCCAAACATAAATATATCACAATGATTACTTTAAGGAATTCCATTACCAGTCTTAAAAACATAAGCCCTCTCTTGGTGTCAGAAGACAAAAAGAGAAATTAAGGGGCACAGACTTCCAGTTCCAAACCACACGTGCCTTGAATCATGCAACCTCTCTCAATTTCTGAACATGCAGGAAATAACCCAAGAAATTATTATACGTAAAACTAAAATCAACAGGTAACCCTAGGATATGGAACGATCTCACTAACTATAAATCAGACACTGGAATGGGAAAAGAAAAAGTAAACGAAACAAAAACTTGTCCAGGCTTCTTGTCATGCCAGGTTCATAAAACTGAGGCCACCTAAAAAAAGAAAGGAAGGCACTTCAAACATCATCTACAGTTAGTTACTTGCTTCAGACACTCAGGATTGTATCCACTGCAACCAACTTTAAATTCCCATCAATGCAGATCTTTGTGTTGGCAAGACTGTGTGCTGCCCCCAACACACACACACGCGCGTGCACACGTCTTTCCTCTTTACACTCAGGGAGGACACCGACTCCTAGAAAACAACTGGGAAAGAAGCTGAAGGGAACGCAGGAGGACACATCACATTCTGAGGACAGTCCCTATAAGCAAAGCAATGTAACAGCAAAGAAAGGAAGTCCTGCTGGCAGTAAGTGCTCCACACTTTAGTTTTCAAATATTCTACCCATACCAGAAAATCAAGCAGGGAGGGCAAATAAAGATCCTATCTGAGCAAAGGCCTTCTAGAAACTGAGAAGTGTACTGGGGTTTGTGGAGGTCGACACACCCTTAGCTGCAGACCTGGGTGGACGGTAAAGGAGCCGATTTGTTGACAGAAAACATATTTGGCCAAGTTCACTTTTAAAAAAATAAAAACTGGGGCTCCTGGGTGGCTCAGTCGGTTAAGCGTCTGACTTCGGCTCAGGTCATGATCTCACGGTTGGTGGGTTCAAGCCCCGCTTCAGGCTCTTTGCTGACAGCTTAGAGCCTGGAGACTGCTTGAGATTCTGTGTTTCCCTCTCACTATGCCCCTATGCCAACTCATGCTCTGTTTCTCTCTGTCTCAAAAATAAACATAAAAAAAAAATCTTAAAGGATTAAAAACTGGAGAAGAAAGGGGCTCCTGGGTGGCTCAGTCGGTTAAGCGTCTGACTTTGGCTCAGGTCATGATCTCGCGGTTCATGGGTTCGAGCCCCGCGTTGGGCTCTGTGCTGACAGCTCGGAGCCTGAAGCCTGCTTCGGATTCTGTGTCTCCCTCTCTCTCTGTTCCTCCCCTGCCCTCACTCTGTCTCTCTCTCATTCTCTCAAAAATAAATAAAGATTAAAAAGAATTTTTTTTAATTAAAAAGGATAAAAATAAAAATTAAAAAAAAACTGGAGAAGTAAAAGACAAGGCATGTGATAAAGAAAACAGTTCAGTAAAAGAAAAGGAACAGCCTCTGAAATCCTCAAAGAAAATGCTTACTGGATATAGTGACGGGTCCAAAAGAAAGGTCTGGAGATAGTGTGGCACCCTCAGCAGAGGACAAGGAGATACGGCTTGTGTGGAACTGGTGAAAAAACGAGGTTAGATGCAAAGCAAATGCAGAAGATGAAAAGACAAAGAGTGACATGCTAAGAACAACTGAGTAAGATCAAGAGAAACCTGTGCGAGGAAGAAAACGGGATCAGAAAGGAACTGGTTGGTTTACAAGCAGGAATGTAAGAAAAGAGAGCTCAGATTCAAAGGCTTGACAGACTGGAAAAGGCAACTGACTTCCCAACCCCAAGCAGTTGAAAATGAAGCGGAGAAGGCCTCTGAAAGAACAGCTGATTAAAAATCAACATTGGGTCAGGATCAAATCAAGAGGACACAACGGCTACACCTGATATTAAACCTCAATGTGGATCAATGTGGCACATAGTATATTCCTTCACTTGGGATAAAATGTTTCAGGAAAAACAGACGAAGAGGATAAGTCTTCAGCTGAAGGTTGGCAGAAAAAAGGTACCCTCAAATAATTAAAGGGAGGAGGCACATGTGGGGTGAAAAAGATGAGAAATGTAGCAAATCTGAGAGATCTCTAGCAAAAATTGTAGGTCTGGCTATTGACACATGAAGCTGATTGGAATCAAGCTGGGAAGCCAACAAAATTTTTGAGAGCTGTGTGGCCAAAATGACTACTACTAGTCTGGATTAAAACAGGACTATGACTACTGGATTTTTAGGACAACCCTATAGACAGGAAGCTGCCAGAGAAAACTGCTCAACCCCCAAAGACAGCCTATTCTCTAGGGCCCACTTCAGTGGGAGCCAAGGAAGTTAATGGAAAAGGAAAAAAAAAAAAAGAAAACAACGGATTGGGAGCCTCTCCCGGGAAGCAGAATCTGGGCATAATTAATGAACATCCTCCAAACCAAGGTGGGGTTCCCCCCCAAAAGCCTGCTCAGTGGGATTTCAGAATTGCTACCACTCCATGACAGTTGCGTATCTCCAGTTCCTCCCCTTTCTGAATGGGAGTGGTTTGGGCAGGGTGTTTCCCAGCTCCACCAGAGTGGGAGGGGACATAAGGGACAGGTCTTCTTAATTCAGGAATTCTCCAGACCAAGAGATGGCACAAGAAGGCCTGAGGGGACGATAAGGGACTTCAAGCACTGCTGTGACTGAATGGGGCAATTTGGGTTCCTGCCCTTGGGGAGGGGTGAGTTATTTTGCCTACAAGGAGAAGAGCTGTTACATGTGATGACCACAACTCTCTGCCTTATGGAGCCCTAGGACTACAGTTTACTTCCCTCCTTGGAGGTAGGTATGGCCATGTGGCTTGCTTAGTTCACTGCATCACTGGGGTGCTACAGCAAGGAGGTTTGCGAACACAGAGAAAGAGAAGCCCTTTAAAAAGTGGTTCCTGTTCTAACATATAAAGATAAGCCTTCTAACAGAAGGACTCAAATTTCCAACACTTTTCGTGTCTGGCCACAAAACAGAAATGGAACGAACGTGGAAATTACAAAAGTGGTTCTGGTAAGTCAGTCTCAACCCCCAAAAGTTTAACTATATTATTACAAAACCCAGACCAAACTCCGGTAGTGCAAGAATCTCCTTTTATTTTTTTTAATGTTTTTTTAATGTTTATTTATTTTTCAGAGGGAGAGAGAGCGCAAGCAGGGGAGGGGCAGAGAGAGAGGGAGACACGGAAGCAGGGTCTAGGCTCCGAGCTGTCAACACAGAGCCCGATGCAGGGCTTACAAACCGTGAGATCATGACCTGAGCCGAAGTCAAATGCTTAACCGACTGAGCCACCCAGGAGCCCGAAGAATCTTTTTTTAATTAAAGTATTTTGTACAGCAGTTATAACTTAAGTGAAGCATTTAAGTTTTTCATGACCCAAAACAATGAATTTAAACTATATACAGGCTGCATCAGTTTGTTGTTAGTATGACTGATTGGCGATCATAATATTATAGCCCCTTCTTTTAGAACATTATAAACATCAGAAAAGAAGGGATGACTTAGGTTCCAAGAGTCAAGAAACTTCCAGGCAGGGAAGAAACAGAAGAATCAGTAAGAGAAAGGAAGCAGAGACAGTATGAAAGAGCTCAGAATGGCAGCAAAGAATAGTTTGCTACAAATATTCATCTGAAACAGCTCTAAAATTCTTACGAAAGTACCAATTACCCTCACACCCATCACTCCACCAATGTGACCACCACTCAACTCCCTCCTCAGGATGTTTTCACGTGAAAATCACGTTCCAATTTTACAATACGAGTCTTGGGATTCCCTTTTATGATGAACAGTACTGCTGGCACTAATAATTCTTCATTCCACAAGTATCTAAAGTCAGTCCATCCATGTATCTTTATAGAAATCACTCCATGCACGAAAAGACTATGCCCCTGGACACCATGATGTACAATCAAATTATCTTTATCACATGATATTTTTTCCTATCACTGAAATACACAGGTAGGTCCCCACTCCAGCAGCCAAATTGAGTTGTCTTGCTTAAGACTAGAAACGAGGGAGGAAAAGAGGAGTAACTAAAACCCCACTAACATTTACTGAGCTCCTACAGAGTCAGTCACTATACCAGCATGTCTTACGTATGCTATCCCGTAACTCAGAGACATCTCGCCATGCACACCCAAGTATTCACAACGTGTAAGCAGAAGAATTGAAGTAGATTAAGCATTGGTCCAGGTTTATGTGGCCGCTAAACAGCACAACTAGAATTTTAAACCAAGTCCTCTCGGAACCAACACTTAAAGTTTTTCATCAACAAAGCCCCACGGACAAGGAGCCCTTCACACTTAGGAGGCTTGTGTTGGACTTTAATATAACGGCTCCCAATATTAGTCACATCCATTTCATTAATTCCATTTCTATCTTTATCCATCTCTTCTTTCCCAAGCCTTGCTCAGCTCTAGGTTCAAAAGACATTTACTAATTCCACAACATCCAACTTCAAGAACTTCATTTACTTTCTATTTTATAAACATTTATTAAGTGCTTAGGCCAGATACTGACTGAGCGTTGCAGACACAAGCATTCAACTTCTATCCCGGACGAACAAACACTGCAGCCTCAGCCCACCACATTTCTGAGGCCATCCACAGCAAAAATGAGAGTAATTTAAGAGCCCTAATCCCCAAGCGGAGGAAACTGGTAACGGTCCTGCTGCCCCAAGCGGAGTTTATGGTAAACCCTAAGCACTCATGCTTCTGATGGACGTGGCCTTCACAGTTGGGCTTCTGCTCGGACTTCCCAAGTATATTCTGGTCTCATTTCCTTCCTTACAATTTTGAATATTTTAAGAATTGTCTATAATAAGTGAACTTTACACTCATAAACAGGAAAAATACCAACATTTATAATTAAAAATCCCTCAGGAGCCAGCAGCAGCATTGTTACCTGGCTTGAGCTGGGATCCACGCCAGAGTGAATGT